GTGTATTCCTGCAGTTGTTGTGGAGGAAGACTTGCGCCACCTTATACAACGCATACCCTGGAAATGACAGCACTTCGGCGATCCCAAGTGGTGCAAGATTGCCCCTGTTCACAGCAGTGTGAAGTGGTGCGGCTGATAGAGCGCCATATGAAAATGCAGATTCGCAGTTCCAATTCGCTACAGAGCCTTCAACAAACAGACTGCCCTCAAAATCACTATGGCAATAATATGTCAACCTGTGTATATTCATTTATGTATAGATATCTCACCGACTATGAGTGTTGTATTGGGAATATATATGATCTTGACATAGTCATCATTGTTTCCCTTGGTCACAAGTAGTTGGTGGGGGCCTACCCTTGAATGCATGACTATGTTGAGCAATGTTGAGTTCATGGTTCCTGTAGTCTCCTCAAGAATCGTTTTATGTATGGCATAACCCTAAGGAATATTGAAACAACAGGTGTAAGGGGACTACAGGTTCTGTGTTACGCCTAAGATGGACATGGCCTTAGCCGGAGAAGCGAGAAGTCTCGCTCAGTTTAACCCTGCAGAAGGCCAGGACGCCTTTTCCTGGGTACTGCCCCCACCTAGCAGCAGTTGGTACATATGAGATGTAGTCTAAACTCCATAAGGGGGTTATAGAGGGGAGCATTATAGGGGTTAGTAAGGGGGACACTAGAAGTCTAGACTATAGTTCATAACATCTTAAAGCCCCTATGATAGACTGTTACTGGGTGAGTGCAGGACACAAGCCTTATCCCAAAACCATGTTTTGCTTAGCATTGGCATTTGCATCACGGTATCAACTTACGGGTGTTTAAGAGGGAGCGGATTAGGATTTAGGGTTTGTGATTTAGGGTTTAGTGTTTAGGGTTCAGGGTCTCGGGTTCATGGTAATATAGGGACTCTAATTGCTGTGAATACGGGAATTGTGTAGATATGCTTTCAGGAAGGCTCTCCTCCTCAACTCTCCCTTATAAGCCCTACACCCTAAACCCCTGAGCGCCGGTACAGGAGTGCCAGTTCAACCAGAAAGAGGTAAACCAATTCCACGAAGCCGGGGTCCTGTCAGGGCTTCCGCGTCAGGGGTTTAGGTTTTGGGGTTGAGGGCATCTGCGGCTTCAGCAGGCCTACCTAGATGCTTGTATCGTGCAAGTTTGATATCTCAACCCCTGAATCAGGATATCTATATCTGTCTATAGAAGTTCTAGGTCGTACAGTAAGGTATCCCAAACAGGAATGGGGTATCAGAGTCCTTACTGTAAGCATAAGTCTCCCACAGGTCCTGCTGTTACTTTTCAATTTCCTCCATATACAATCCCTTCGTCCGGCAGGCTCCCTGTCATCCCTATTTATCCCTGGCCCTAGGGTTCCAAGTACCTAATAATCGTGTAACTTACCCAAAACCTATACTATAATTACTATCACCCAAAACACAAGTACCTAGATATTGGGTACTTGGACCCTAAACCCTATATATCCCTATTTATCCCTCTATACCCCAATAGGTCCCCCTTAAAGGGATCTAATTATTGGGTACTTGGACCCTCTGGGTGGGAGCTTCAGGGGCCAGCCCTAAAAGCCTAAACCATGCTGGCCAGTGTGGGTTGGTGTAGCCCTTTCTGTTCCTTTCTTGGGGCCCTCATCATCCTCAGAGTGGCCATGACATGCCTGCCATGTGCCGCAAGGAGGAACCCTTCGAGCATAAACTCGCAATCCTATAGATTTGGGTTGTCCTTCAAAAGATATGAGTACCGTAATAGAAGTGCAGAGAAGGTAGAGAGATGCATGCAAGTATGCATGTATGTACGTACGTACGTACGCACTACCCATGTGCCTATGTATGTATGTAAGCATGCATGCATGCATGTATAGGATGGCAGGAGGATTATGTAAACACCTACAGGGGTTGCTTGGGATCAATTTCGGGAACTGCCCGTAAAAACTCAAGTTCAAGAATTCCTGGAGGGATATTTCGGCATGCTGGCGCCTTGTTTGGAGGGATCGTGTTCAGGCACTCACTCTGCAATCTGTAGTTGTGAAATGCTCTATGTAGATTTGCTGGAACAGAGGCAGTAGGCATTGAGATTTTCGCGCTGCACACGAATCCTAGGTTACTGCCTCTCGCAAATAGTAGGAGCATGCCTTGACATCCGCAGACCTTTGCTTGGAACACGGCACAGTCTGCACATTGTGACACTACATGGCCGACCCTAGTCTCCAAGCAGTTCGACTTGCCAGCAGTGCATACTTGCAGCCAGAAGAGTTATGGAAGTGGCATGTACGTGTAAGCTACACCTGACGACGTCTGCTCACGACTTCAGAAGAAATTGTCCAATGCCCTTGATGCTTCTTCCGGCAAGCATGCGCCTGGCAAAGCAGAGCCTTTGGCGAGTGACGAAAGGGGCGGTGCAGCGCTCAGAGGAGACTTGGTTAATTATAGCTCAGGTAGGTTTAGACTAGTATTTTAAGATTTCTTCCCCCCAAACACCCTTCCTTACATATTAAATTCTTCATGAGAGGCCTGGTATGTAAGAGACACACTTTATGTTAGTGGTTGGAGGGAACGATTGATATTGTATTCCTTTGATGAGGGGATGCTTTTAGTTACCCCAACCTGTGAAATTATGCGATTGCTATGACGGCCGGGGTATCCTTATTCTACGGGTTTGGGTAACTAAAATCCACTTGTCACTTTTTCGTTCGACCATCAAAGACAACACTACTCAACTGTTTGAAGTATCACGAGCTGCGTTTTATTTACCACCACTTTTTGCTACAAGTTGCGACCTTCCCAGTACGGGCTATTATAACTTGTACGCCCTAAACTCTACCCCTATCGGGATACTAAGAAGGTCTGTAAAGGTATGATGACCCATCCTGGTCTTTCTTGGACACAGATTTTGGCTGCATCATTTAACAATGACCTTGATGCTATGTATGTTCATGATAGTGACTGACGTCTATACTGGGTTTCTGAGGAAATTACAAGAGATTATTTAGGGGCTACGAATTAAGAAGGGTGGTCACATAGAGTCATGCAGGGTTTAGGGTTACATCACCAATGGAAAAGGTAAATGGAAAAGCGCATAGAACACGAAATGGAAACGGGGATCTCGAGAGATGTATAGGGGTTCAGGGAACAAAAATGAAGTTAGCATCATATGCTTAAATCATCATGACAATGGTTTCTTGCAGCGGTAACTTAAGTTGAGTGTTTACCAGTATTCCACTCCATGAGTGTTGTTTTGTAGGGCACGGCTGGACAAGGAGCAAACACGAGTGGCTCTGTTGTTTGAAGCGTCAGGTTTGCTATGATGTTTGCAATCCCTATGAAGCGGTAGCCACGCCTCTTTGCCACCAAAAGGCATGTTCAGAATGTTTCTTCTACCTAGGTACTGACATGCTTTTCTTACCCTCATGTTGTTCAGGACAAAGTTTTAAGGCCAAATCCTTCGACAAGGAAAAACATTTAGCCAGTGGATGCCCAGGCGGAGGCAAATTACAGTTTCCAACCGTCAGGATTCAATTCTAGTAGATCGACTTTTGGTGGGATCCCCAAACATTCAATGTCCCACATCCCAGGGGCTATTATGGTATATCATGGTATATTCTACATATGTCATGATATGTTAAAGTATATTATGGTTCTATTATGGTACATTATAGATGAAGTTACCTGGCAGAAACCTTAAGTCGCAGACTTCAGGCAACAAATGGTTTAGGGTTTAGGGGTTTAGGGTTTAGGGCGGCCATCAGATTTGTTGTGCGCCAGCCTCGCAGTGTTCCTGGGGCGATCCTTTGTGAAGCAGGGGCTCTTAGCCTAGACATATCCAAAGTCTATGAATGATACTGGGCTGGGCCATTTGGAGCCCCGGGGTTTGTAGATCCAAGGACTTGTAAATCCAAGGGCACTCAGGATTCGCAGCAGTGGGGGTACCAAAACGACGGCCAATGCCTTAGTGATCCCATACCCTAGGCGTCCAAGTACTAAATAATCATGCACTTACCCAAAACCTATACTATAATTACTATCACCCTAAACCCTAGTACCTAAATATTGGGTACCTGGACCCTCTGGGATATGGGGATGGCTCTCTTTTGGTACCCACCGGGTCCATGTAGCTATATGGTATATACTTGGGCCTTAAAGTAGGTATATGGGAGCCCCTTTGGGCCCTAAGTATACACCATGTACCTACATGGACCATTTGAAATAGGCATGATATTGTATTGGGGTCTGTCTTGGGGCCTTTTCTTCGGAAACTCCCATGCAACTAGTTTAGGGTTTATAGGTTTTAGGGTAACCCTAAACTCTAAACCCTAAACCCCATAACCCTATAACCCCATAACCCTAAACCCTACAGCCATGAGGCAGAAGCCTTGGGCTTTGCAGGCACTCAGATCTGAGAGTTTCCGAAAAATGGGCTCACGCGCGGTTTAGGGGTTTAGGGGTTTGGGGTTCAGGGTTTAAGGTTTACCTCCCTTCATGAACCCACCCACCTTTCAAGGGATTATGTAGAGTGAACAGGGGTATACCGGGAATGGAGAGAACCCGGAAACTAGTTACCATGCCATTAAGGTAAGGGTGTAGGTTTTAGGGCTGACAATAACCCGCCCCACCCCAACCCCCACTCCATAATAAGCCTTCCTCCTAATGATGTGATGGCGCGATATTGGCTATGTTGATTCTTAGAGGAGGTTCATTGTTCCGGAGGACAATCTATCCGCCAAAACTATGATCCTGTTCTGCGTTTATTGTTGGACACATGTTGGTTTTTGTCACATAAAGCCCACTAAGAAATGATTCTGACAAACAAGGAACCAGAACAAGGGGCGCATATAGTCCCCGTTGAGGACATAGGGTGTGGAAATTGTCCAATATCATATTGAGATCTCCATACACACCGAATTCTAGCCATTTCAAGGTGATTATAGTTTAGCCTTAAACTCTAAACCCTAAACTCTAAACATTTAGCATGTGGATAAGCATTCAGGTGACAAGGCAGAAAGCGGCCGCTCTGTCGACAGGCGGACGCATCCCCTGCCCCAAGCTTTACCATTTCCTTCCAGGATTTAGGGTTGAGGGTTTTGGGTCCAAAGGCTACATAGGGTTTGGGTGTAACTAGGGCAAAGGGTTCAGGGCTAGGGCTTGGGGGGTTGGGGTTAGGGTTGTAGGAGCCTACATGGATGGAAACGACTTGAGAATGGGCAGCTCGCATCTCCCTTGTACAGCTCATACCCTAAGATTAACCGGGCGAAGGAGGGGGTGCAGTAACAGGTGAACTCATGAATTATCGGGACTGGGGCTTGAGGGCAGTGCCCGTGGTTTAGGTTCAGGGTTTAGGGTTTAGGGCTTTAGGTATAATCCATGAAGCAGTAGCAAATTGGATTACAGGTATCCCGGTATCCCTCTCTCACATATTTGTACAGACTTGCCGATATGGGCAAGATGTATTTCCACTGGCGTTTTAAGGTATGGGCTCATGGTATTGTAATTGGCAATACGATAAAGTAGCCGTAGGCCATTCAAAAGTTAAAGAAAAAGAGTAGGTAAGAAGCCCGTTGTTTTTCACACATCTAGCTGACTCCAGGCATGTCCTTCGCATACTCCACTATAGACGTAGCAGTATGGACTGTGAATGCGCGATCTGCAATCATAGGAAACTTGCCATAGGGGGGATGGTTGCCAAGGCCTTTCAGTAGGCCCCTTTACCTGCGTTGGGTATGGGTTCCTTATCAAGCCAGGTTACACAAAGAATGGGCCTGCTTGTGGATCGGGGGACGCTCCCTTCGCTATCTCCTGAGAGCTGTCTATCGTGCTCCATATAGGGGTTTCCCAAAATTGGGGGTACCTTCTTGGGGGTCCCAATATTAAGGAGTATAGTATTTTGGGGTCTATATTGGGGTCCCCTAATTTTGGGAAACTACCATATAGACCAAAGTAGGTATTACTGGTCAACCTCAGCCTAGTTATGGGTTAAAAAGGCTTCAACTAGGCATGGTTCTTATGACCCTAAACCCTAAACGACCTATGGTCCTCCTTTCCTAGATAATGGGGTAAAGGGGATCTCATTATAATATACCCAAAGCCATATTCTATCTACTGAAGGGGGACTTTAGAGCCCCAGAGTTGGGTGAACAAAGAGACCAGAAACTTGGGGTTCAAGATGGCACCTCATCACAGGACAAACGGCTTGACTGAAGTTGTTGGCATGCTGCATGCAACCCTACCCTAACCCTAAAACCCTATACTATATAAAGCCCTATATAACCCCCAATAAGGAGTTTAGATTACAGTTCATAAGCCAGAAAATAGGATGGTCCATGGCCAGCAGGCTGCAAGATCTTGTTGGCTTAGGTAAGAGCTGATTCAGATGATCCCGTTTGGGTTCAGGGTTTAGGGTTTGTGAGGAAAAGAGGACAGTGAATTGCCCAAGGCATTTCCCTACGCCATGATGCATGCGGAGGCTTTCAAGATGGGGATGACCCAAGACCGCAGGGATGGACAGCGATTACAACCCTAAGGGTCCAAGGA